CCATAGCATTCCACTGTGTAACTAACGTTTTTTTCGGTACGTGGATTGTAAAATGACGCTTCAGGAAATGATACGTACGACGTATGCAATCACCTGCATATGACACATTGGAAGGGCCGATGGAATTCTCCAGTTTCCGATCCAAGTAGCACTCTTGTTCTGATATGTGAGAGGATAACTCCTAGACAGTCCCAATAACTTAAAGGCGGAATTTGCCTATCGCTACAAAATGGGTTAGTTATGATGCACGCTTCGATTGTCTACCCGTACCTCGCAGACAAACTAAGTATGCATTTTGGCGAAAATCTAATGGTACGTTATTTCATTATATGTATCACTGAAAAAAATTATAACAAAATTACTCACCACCCCATAGTCTGATCGTTTTTTTCGGTCGTCACTTCTGCTGAACGAAGACGCGGCATACTGGGATTCATTTCTATCTGGCAGTTAATTTCCAGTTCCCGGTGCGTGATGGCTAAAAAATGGTGTTGTGGAGAATCACCGCAATATCTAGGTCGTCGTTTCCCGCGGGGTCGATTAAAACCCACAGTAAATGACGGGGAAGCAAGATTGGTGGTGAATCTTTATGGTGACGACGGTATGGTTCAATCTGTGGCTATTTGTGATACATTAGTGTAGTCATTTCGTCCAATCGAACACCGATGTACACGTGCCTTCAGGAAAGGTCTTGCATGATAATACAGTGTGCCAACATGGTACTTCACATGCTGCACTATATCTGTTGGTCATAGCTTTCGAGCCCGCGTGAACAAACCGACATAATCTAAATCCATTCGTTTCTGGTGGCCTTATGCCGTTAACAAATACAACTGGTTGTGAGCTCAGACATGTCGTCCAATTCGAGTCAGCTTTTGTTTGCCGGTTAGACGTGATTACGAAGCCTCTTTATCTAATGTGGGCAATGTGTTCCTTAATAAGTGAAACTAGTCGTAACAGTTGACCACGCTTGCAATGCACTGACGAAATGTCATAAAAACGATATTCGGCCAAGATCCATATTCGAAAGAATGCACTTTGATTTCTGTTTGCACAAACAAATATGTGGTGGCTACCCTGAACAGTGGAGTGAGTCAAGTCACTGTTTATTGCATTCCCCGAATCACGTTGAGCGGAGAAAGTTCTGAGCGCAGTCAACTTTCTGCCTTGTAAATTTCTCGTCTGTGGATCCTGGGCATTTTTTAGAGGATCGTCAGCCTGGTATTCATCTCGTCACGAAGAAAGGACTTGACGTGTCCATCCAAGGGGTGTTCTTTTATCAGATGCGATGGCACTCTGAAGCACACACGAATGGAGATGCTACTATGCAATCTCTAGGGTTTTCACCTCTCATCTGACGGATCCCTGCTGGGCAAAGTGATATTTAGCTGTTTAAATAATGCACACTAGATAAGGATGTGAAAGCGTTGTGCATACGAAGCTAAGACTGAAAAAAGTATCTGAGAACCTCTGAGCTGGATAAGCTTCGTTTGCAAGGTATCGCGGTTCGCGTTTACCGCCATCATGGGTCTAGCGATCCCTCCACAGAGACACCACCTTTGGGACCGAATAAAAGTCTTACTTTTGTCATTCATGTACATAAAACATTTCACATTCATAGAGGCAGAGCAGCAAAGATTGGACATCGAATGAGGTCTTATGACAAGAGTTGGGATGGAGCTTAAGTGTAAGCCAATGGCCGGAATCCTTACTTTTTAAGCACACTGTCGACTGTTTTCTTCTAGTTAACATTGGTTCATCACATGCCCACTTCTACATTAAGGTAGTTTTTCGCCCGTCAAGTATGAGCGTGGCTTTGTCAGGGCTGTTTCACTGGGTAAGAAACATAAGCATCGCAGACCAACAGTAGGTTCCTGAGCCTTCTGAATTTGATCAATATCATTTAAACTGTTCTCCCTCTGATGTGATTTGCCAAATCAAACTGAGCTGCGAACGTTTTGTACTTACCGATTAGCATCCATCGTTCTTGTAGCCATGTTGCTCCTGTCTGGTCGAACCACTTCTTCGAATTTCGTTCATAACTTTCATCTGTAAACTGAGCTGGTATATTTCTACTCATTTATCTTATTGCTGTATGGTTACTCAGCAAACACTATCCTTTCGAGTTGCGTACACTGGTCTAGTCTAAACCGGATGTGAGTTAACAGGGGTCACCAAAGATAGGATCCGAAGTTTTATTTCCTTAATAGAATAGATTGCTCATCAGACTGTTAAAAACTCTTCAACAACCCATGACCGGTCTCGCCCTTCTTTGGCCTCATCAGATAAGCGTAGTTTCGTAGTTTCCGTCAAACTTTTTTTTCCACTTGAGCCCAGATTGTACAAAATTCGCAAAATGCACTCATTCGTGAACTACGTTGATGTCAACAAGAGACCCAGCTGGACGTCTCGTTTGTGATACTTCTCAACTGAATGTGTTGCACAGAAGTGGTCTCTTGTTTTAGTGCGCACGATATTCGAGATATCTTAGTAGATACTGTTGACATAAGACGCTACTCATGAAGTATCTTTTTTAATAACGTTGATCAAAGTAATCTGCTGACCTATGTCACTTCCGGATATGCTCTTCATCTGGTGGTCATCGCCTAGAAAAACCCATCGCATACCTTCGAGCTACTGCACTTATCTTAATAGTTAAACGGTACCAACGTGACATTGGTCATTTTGAAAGGTTTGTGTAACGGAAGCGTCTTTTTATGGTGCGCACCACCCGCACAACCCTGGCTTTGCTCAGTTGCTTTTTCGGCGGATTGTTCTGCTTGTGCAAAAAAACAATACCGGAAAAATTCTTTAAGGGTTTCTCTTTAGGATTGTTCTCAGAATTGAATCTCAGTACACCCTAATTCCCTATGCTTCATTCAGAACTAAACTGGACACCGATTGGAAAAGTCTGGCGAACTCAAGAGTAATGATTTTAAGATTCAAAACACAGAAGTTTGGCGCTTCACTAGATAAATCTAGTACAACTATGCTGTAATGAACTTGTGTGTATATAGAATGAGTGAGCCAGAAGAAAGTCAGTCAAAAGTTCATCGTGAATTATGGTGTGGACTCATGTTTGATCGATCGATAGCCAACTGATCCTTGCCAACTGAGTCGGTTGTTTTTGAGCTCGGTGAACTGCATTCATCGAACTCATTTCGACCTATTCATATGTACTGTTTACCAAAACGCAATCGTCATGCATCAAAACTATAACCTTTGAAATAACTGGACCGATTTAATGCGGACTAATTGATTATGCCATCACTTGACCATATCTCCTATGCTCTCCCATTTAGCGGTGGCCGATGCTGTAACAACTGAAACCAACATGCTTTTGGTACATGGTACATGGGTGATAAACTGAACTGCACTATGTTAGTTTCTCTGTTGCAACTACCTATTTATATGATCAGTGCACTGTTTGCGTTGAATGCACAACCGAACCAGTGGGTCGTAAGCGTTGATCGCCGCACACTGAACCACGTGTTTGTTATCGAAATTTTCGATGCTGCACGTACTGTCAGTGATCTCAGTTTTGGTTCTGCTGTTCGATTTTAGAGAGTCCCAGTGTCTTCATCTTGCCTCATCATTGATGACCCCAGCACTTAAATCACCCATGAAAATCGGTCACTGAAAGATTCGGATTTGTTCGAGTTCAACCGTTGATCATAGAGTTTGTTTTCTTTGTCCGATTGTGGCGTAGACGCCGATTTGTGGAGTTGTCCTTAAATTTAAAGGTTCGGGAGAATTTTCCGCTCTTCCCGTACTATGAGCTTAGTTTGTACGGTGATCAGAAGGCTTTTCAAGTCATAACTTAGGAGTTCTTCGCGTTTGTGTTTAGTAGGAAAACTGGTTGATGACATGAATGTCCTGTTCCCATCCGCCTTGGTAATTTCTTGTGGAGTATTTCCTTTTAAGGAAGGGAGGAAGTTGAAAATTATTGTTAACTTATTCTCAGTAAAATGTGCTCAACCAACGAGCTGCATGCTTTTCAGCTGTTCGGGTGAAGTCTAAGGAGGTCGTCTCGTGGATCTCCGTGGAGCAAATTTTCGTTACTGAAACTAACTATTGGGCGTTCACAAGGCTAGCTTCTTTTACTACACGAAGTTGAAACGGATTTTCGACCGATGCACTCACTTGCACACCAATTCGGGTTTCACAGGAGACTCACCTGAATCCCTACTGAATCTCTGCTTTATGATATTCGTCTTCAGATCTTCTTGTTGGCATGACTAATCATCAAGAGTACATGGGCCATTCATTATTTTATGTGAAAGCGGTCACACACGCGGTTCGCGGAACCGAACTTTCAACCCACGGCTTCAAACGCTGGGTCAAAATGTTGTTTATCAAATCCAAAACTGGTCGTCAGAGAAGTTCTTGTTCGCAGATGTTCTGAGCCATAAATCCTCTCATCTTGTTACCCAGGTTACACGTTTATAATTCCAAAACGAAGTTAATAGCTGACGAATCAGAACCGTGCTCATGTTGCCACTAGTATTCCTCTACGTATCTAGACTGGTTTATGTGCACAGTTGCACTCTAATGATCACACATGAAGCCCGTCGTGCTTGACCGCTCCTCCTCGCCACTCTGTGTGTGAATGATTCAGGTTGACCTAGATTCAAGCTGATCGTCTTTTATACAAGCCGTTCGCAGTTATCTAACGTTTATTGATTTTTGCATGAGATCCAAATAACCGCGCTCCACTTTCTTCATCCACTAACTTTTTATTGCTTTTTTTCTCTGTAAGTTCTATGTTGATCAGCTTTCTCGACGGTCGCAATTCTAATTTGTATGGTATGGCTTCAGGTCGCCGACGTTCCGACTGATTGATATTGGGTCATTCTCAACATTATTTCTCAGATGCTATGACGGCCAGAAGAAATTTCATTCCATTTCGGCACGCATTTTTGGCGTTATCGTTGTTTAGATGAGAATCTTTCGCATACGCTCACCCGTTTAATATCTTGTTTTTTTGTACCATCGTACAGGAACAAAAAGCCAATGCGCCCGTTCATGAGCCAGTACGCGGTGGCGCTTTCGATTCGAACGATACTCCATTCAGCTATCAGGCCAGTGAGGGTATTAACCAGGGTATGTATGATAGTGAGTGGATCGTCTCTCGCGAGCGAGCTGAAGCGGATTCGGTGAGTATTGTGTGCGACATTCTCTATTTAAGGTGCCATTCTGAATCCTATATTCGATCTCCGGGCTTGGTTTTGTCAGCTTAAACCCAGCAACGTCTTGCAGGATAAATTCTCGCCTGAAATTTCCTTCACTTTGTTCGAAAAAGAAATACTCAATTCGCATAGACCTTTCATAGAAGAATCGTAGCTCAAGTTGCCAGTAAACACCACACCATGTGATATGAACTGCATGCTTCAAGAGAATTGAGACTGTCACCAAGGTGCAAGATAGTTATAACATCAATCAGCTACTCGCGGTCAAAAACCTAGTGCTATGTTACCAACCCAAATGTCACAATTCCGATCCTCCCGGGCTATTTGTAAGGCACGGACTGCATTTAGTTCTCGATAACCAAGAAGAAACTTCTCTAATTTTCATGATAGTTCCTTCAGTTGTACAATGAGATCTCGGTTGAAGTTACAAAACCTCCTCGACACAGTATTCCCTGTTTAAAAACTACTATTCCAAAGCATTTAAACTGTTTCTTACTTCGAGATCTTATGTGGAACCACAATCAAGCGAGGTTACGAAAGCTGTATGTTCTAACTACCACGAAAGTGCACATGCATTTGCGAATTCCTCGTCAACACAGCCTCCTTCCTTCAGAAGAGGACGGACGGATACAAAATCCCCTCCTAGTGCAGTTCCCCCTCCTGGAAACAAATCAGTGGATCAAAAGAGGAGACACTAGTTTCCCAAACGGCTGATTTACTCTCCAAGCAACAGCCTAATGGAAATTTTTTGTGCAGTTGACCCACTTTTATTAGTTGACTCTCATTTTGACATAAGTATAGCTTATACGCTGACCTACGACATTATCTATCTCTTTTTTACAGGGATTGGTTTGAATTGGCTGATAAGCTAGCTTACAGTACCGTTCTTTGGAACGTCCCAGGCTTGATTGAATACGGTGCGCCTGATGAATGGAAGAGACGACAACTGAACACAACACTTGATTGATTCCCTAATGATCGCCATTGTTTTGGCTTTTATATGAGAACACAGCTTCGTGCGAACTTAGTGTGTACTTGTGCGTAATCGAGTTTAGCTAGGTATAAAGACCGCCAGCTCCTTATGATCTGGGTGACGAGACTGGTAACCGTCGTACAGCCTGACCATGTTATATTTCTATGAACGAATCACGAATATACAAGGGTGTCGAACATCTGAGACGAACCAGAAAATTCTGTCTCGCCGGATACCAATTAAATTCCATTACCCCACTTAGAGACACCTCGTCAAGGAAGCATTTTGTGATCCCTCGAGTGTGGGAAGGTGCTGTAATTCACGAAAGACTTTGTAGTCCAGGGTGTTCTACGTGTACCTCCACGTCTGACAAATTGCTGATAGATTTGTTGCTTCACCTCCAGAGTGATGCGATAGCTTGTATGAACCATCCTCTTAGGTTTTTGAGCATTCATTCTACTGCTTACTGATGTTTTCTTCGCCTTTAGCTGTAAGACAACAACGACTAGCAACGCATTCCGCCGCGACCCTTCGGTCTCTCCGCTTATCTCCGCTGAGGCTTGCAGTGTTTTATTCTCCGGGGGTAAACAGTTCCGCAAAGGAACCGCCGGCAACGCTGCGTCATTAACGTACTGTACTTCCTTTCTAATCTGTCGTTCCTGGGAACGACATCTTTCCGATTGAAAATCCCCAAAAGCTCGTACTGTCAGCAGCGTTGAGTATTTAAACCCAAGCTGTGAGACAGTGTACCAATCAATAAACCTTATGAAGTGAAGTGAAAGGATGGGGACCAGTGGACGCATTCAGTATTGATGAAACAGGCCCCTGTCATGCAGCACTGTCTTCCAAATCGCCGATGATAATTGGAAATGAGGAGATCGGCACTAAACTGAGACTGAACCATTTCTTGTTTGAGGTGGAAGATCACGTGGACGCTGATGATCCAACCCTTGTGTAACAGCATAAGATCCCAGTTTTTATCTGAAAAATCATAAACGACCATGTGCAACCATCTGCAACCAGTAAATGTTTCCTTGAGTGTAGCTTCAGTAAAGCGTATCCAAATAAGTCTTTGAACAGAGTTAATTTTATAGCTTGTGCGGCTAACATCGTTTTGTCTAGTTCTGCGTGGATTAGGGTTTTCAGTGCTAAATTCCTTCGTTCAGTGTTTTGCAGCAAATGTGGAGGTCCTTGGTGACCCCACTTTTAAAAACTGACCACACCTTGGAGACATTTTACTACGTGTGTTTACGGTCCTACTGTGGACTAGTTTTCTTCGTGCCACAACGAATTACGGATATGTTCCCTTCAGTCAATCCCGATGCTGATTAAGGGTCCTGGAAAATATGATGGGCGGAGGAAATTCCAGGAATAGGTCATTCTCTTTGTCGTAAACCTCCAAACAAAAGGCATGTTAAAAAACTCAAACGACCCAACTGTGCCAACCCGAAAATATCAGATCTATTCGTAGTGACCTCCACAATTATCATACCTACAAAATGTGATATCCCTGTCTTTATTAGTGGACAACTAAAGTTAATGCTTGATTTTATCTCACTGTAACTGCCGCAATATCTCGCACCCACAATGATTTTGTGCTCGAAATGAGGCCCCCATCCTGCTGTGGTGGTCGGGCTTGAGTGCTGCGACGATCCCATCCACTACATTGGCTGGAACTTTGTTCCAAAAGTTGCAACCATGCCAGGAAGGCCAAGGGAGAGCTGGAGACAAAGCACTACGAGTAATCGTGCTACGAGGTGACCTCGGGGTGAAATGATACCGTTCACTGTGATATGAGTGTAAATTATCATAGTGTTCCCCTCAGGCGACCAGCTGCTCTATATTCATGGAAGCAGCGATGCTGTCTTCCCCCGATGAAGGAAGGATTACAAAAGGTCGGCCCTAAACCTGCACGCTGATCGCCTATTGGTTGGCCGTGACCGCCGGCGCATTATTCAATACGGTTGAAATGCTTTTAGAAGCAAAGGATCAGGTTCTGCTCCCAAAGTACCTGATGTGCGCAGCTGCATCAGGAGTGAGAGAGCTATCCATTACGCCCTGCGCCCTCGGGTTAGGCTAACCTTCTGTAGCGGAGTAGGTCAGACTATTGAGGGAAGGGTCCTCAAAGAAACCCTACTGCCCTGCCTCGCGGTTCTGAGTCAGAGGCCACGGCAACGTCCCCGAATAAAACCCTACAGGTTCCCAGTGCCCTCTGGGTCAGGATTTTGAGTCAAGGGCTCAAGATTGGTTACCTCAACCAAATCCTCTTCCTCCGCCTGAGCAATCGGGAAGTATCATTTTCCCGCCACAGTTGTCTTCCGAAACCCCTGTCACCACACAAGCAAACGTTTCTGGATTGTTTGACTGTCAGTTATCTGACCGATGTGCCTCGTGCACGCCACTGCCTATTAACAATAAACTAAACACTGCTACATAGGGACTTTCCACGTCCGTACTCTATATCAAATTGGCAACCAGGCTGAGAGTCTAAAATCCCCTAAAATGGATGTATGCAGTGCTGAGAACGAACTCAGCTCTTTCACACTTCTCCTTCCGTATGTCCGTTGATTCAGAAGCGGTGACTCATCAAATATATGGCGTGAGATTCACACTCAGTCCCTTGGCTGAACGCACTTCACTGAATTGGATCCCAATGAACAGTTGTTTTTGCCCGTCCGGTTATCCAGCTCAATCAAGCTCGGTGCCTCTCGGTGCCTGTTTACAGTGTCGGCTTCTAGCCCTTCGGGCCTTCTCAATTCAAGAAATATGCCAATCCACCACCTTCGAAGAACTACCATAGCCGAACACTATCGATCTAAGCTAGCTCAGCTACTCTCTCTACAGTAAACCAATCCTGTAATGGTAGCCACCACGGATGGAGCATGGCAAAATGCGAAAGGAGCTATGCTAGCAGCGTTCAGTGCTCCCTGTCCGATTTCTTAGATACAATCAAATGACCATTGGATATTTTCGATATCGCTAGTTCTGAACGATGCCAGGATATCCATACCTGTAACGAGTACGACAGCGCACTCAAATCCCTTGAACCCCTAACAGTGAAAGACCGAATGCTCTGGTGCACATCGAAAGCTGGAGTGATGGAGAAGACTTTTGCTAAGGGAAACAGCCGTTATCTATGCCAAAGTATGCGATCAACTGGCCCTAAGAAACCAACGGTCAGCCAAACGATGAGTGTTAACCGCGATACGTTAATTTACTCGCAATAATGTTCCTTGAAAAGACAGGCCGAACACTTCGAAACACATTCAGGTGGCCCCTTGCAACACAGTCTCTGGAGATAGTTCAAACCTGTTAATGGAATGTAAGCTTTAATTGTCTGTCGGAAGAAATGAAGTACGAAGTATCGCTACTGAAACGTCAGAAGGCTCCAGGGCCGGACGTTCTGTGTCCAGCCCTCTTCAAAGATGACGGCGAATCCTTGGTGACCCATCTGACAAAGCTTATTGGTGCCTGCACTGCGAGATGGCCCAAGTGGTTAGAGCGCGAATTTACTGACCGAAGGTCCGCGGTTCGAATCCGACCTCCGCCACTCTACTTCCCCTGTCTAGGTTTGGGCAACCTGGCAGTGTCCCAGCCTTCGTGCTTCCTTCGGGTAACATGGCAGCTGGGCACCTAAAGGTGCTACAGCTGAACGCTGAACGCACTGCTTCTAGCAACCAACGATGGTTGTGTTTCTTGATCCAAAAGCTTCATTTGACTCTGGGAACCGGTGAGTACTACGACAGTGTCCGTGGAGCACGGGTGCTCCCCATAAATTCCTTACCATCCTTAAAGCGCTGTACGCCAATTCCCATGGACGTGTGAATGTCCACGGTAAGCTCTCACCTGAGTTCACCAGATCAAGTGGTGTCAATCAAGGCTGCCGTCTTTCACTTTTCCTACTCAACTTCGTCAGTGATACAATTACGGAAGACTCACTACCAGCTTCTAATGCCTGTGAGGTCAGTGCTCCGAGGGCGTCCAATTACAGATGTCGAGTACACAGAGGACATAGCTCCTCTTGGATCCGACGCCGTGGTAATGTAAACATTACTAAATAATCTAAACAATCCTGCCACACAGTTTGGCATGCACTTCGCACCTGCAAAGTGAAGAGTGCTGCTGCAAGACTGAGTGGGCGCGAACCCTAACGCCATGCTTGCGGCCGAGCCGATTGAGTTAGTACATATTTGTCCACCTGGGGAGCTGTAGTGGTCCTGGTAATCTCGTGAGAGATGATATTTTTTTTCGAACTGGGAAAGCCAGAACAGCTTTTGTGGACCTGCATCACCTGTTGCGTAGGCGTGACATCAACGTATCCGTCTAAGGTCGGGTTTAGAATGCTGTCATACGCTCCATATCATTATACGGGGCAAAAACCTTTACGCTGCGCGTCAGGATCGTTAAAAGACTTTCAGTGTTTAAGCGTTGGTGTCTTTGGAGCATTGCCCAAGTCTGGTGAGAACACCGGATCAGCACTGCTGAAGTATGTCAAATGGTTTTTGGAAGAGATAACTCGACCATAATAGGCGAATTGATTATACCCCATAGGTTGTGCTGGCTCGGTCATGTACACCGTATGCGAGTCGACCAACTTCCTCGAAGGGTTCTTTTCGGACGACCACATGAAGGGTAGAAACGAGCCAGAGTTGGTTCAACAATGTGCGAGTAGCAAAATGTGAAAACCAGTACCATCAAACTCAGCTGCGCTGTTCATTGCCGGAGAACCCTAGACGGGCCACGTCAATGGTTAGAGACATTGTCGGACATGGCCCAGTCGTGCCGTCAGTGGCGCTCGTTCATCCAAGCTATTGCCTTCAATTCATAGCTCCCCTCCCGATCTCCCCAATAAAAAGTCCCCTTACAACCATGTACGCATCGATTACATCAACTACCGCTTCCATTTTACAGCTATCTACCGACCTCCCCAAATCATCGGTAGACAGAATTAGAATCTATAACCACTAGATGGCGAAGTCCTTACAGCTGCTGCTGATGATGATAATAAGGTCTTCGAGGGATCAGGTTGTGGATATTTAGTGGATAGTTTCGCGAAGGCCACACATTTTACTCGTATTAAAACCTCATTCGATTCGGTGGTGTGTTCTTATTTCTTGCGTCTCCTTATCGAAGGTCATTCTCTTACCATGACCTTGGCTGGTATAGTGACAGCTAAAACGTAAAATATGACCCCTCCATTATCATCTTCTCAGCCAGACCAAGCGTGCTAGGCTTTTTCGAAGCCGCAGTAGAGTAGTCTTGTTATTAAGCAGAGGAAGATAGGACCCGGTACCCTAGGCTGAAATCTGAGGTGAACCGCATCAAACCACGATTCGGGGCCTGCTGGCCCTTTCGTGACCTGTCTCGAATGAGTGCAGCTCCCTTCGGTGTGGAAAGATGCGTCAAATTCACTCAGTTAACTTTAACCTCCTGCTGGAGTGTTACTTGACCGAGTTAATTTCTACTCGTTTATTGAGGGATTTTTCTGATTCAACGCGCAAAGAAGTCTTTTTTTGTGGTAATAGGTTTCTCGCATATCGAGAGAATATATGCATAATCCAATAACTTGAGAATTTCCAGTACCGTTTCTTCGGAGTGCTTCTTAGGTGGAAGATTCCGCTAAAGTAGGAGTACGTTTTCGTTTGGTCCCCTAAATCGTTCATCTTTCTTCCACAAAGGTCTGTCCCATTTTTCTGAAAGTCACGAGTACATTATTACATATTGTGCAATTCATTGATAGCGCAGGTACAGCGTCCCTTCACCAGTGGAGAGTTCGTTTGTATATGTTAGGTATAGTGATGAAGCTCTTCACAACCGAGTCATGTTTACGAATTCATGAAATTCCGTTTTTCCGCGGCTTTACCTGACAAGACCTTGTCATTTTGACGGCCTAGATTTTCGCGTAGCTCTCAATACGCCAATCCTCTGTTGGCCGTAGTCTGAACACCATGCTGCATAGAAGTGTACATATACAGCGCAGCCGGTCATTTTCTACTGTGCTTCAGTTTGTGATGGCTATTCACTTATCTGTGACCCCAAGTGCTAACGGCACACGTGACTATACACCATTGATTAACAGACGTGTGCTGACACCGCTTTCACCAGCATCTGGTTAGTGAAGAAAGACTTGCTGCCTTACACCTAGGTCTGCGTAAGACTGTTTGTGTGTCCATTGTTGCTGTTTGAACAACATATCTAGGTATTCACATTCGTTTAGCTGACAAGCTCATGTGCTTTATACCTGACCTGTTGCATGTTTTGTTTGTTATGAGCTTAGCTGCACAATCCCGGACACTGGTCAAAAATCTGTTAGTCAACATTCTGCGGGTACTGGCTGATATCATCCAAACTCGGTTTTACCCTTTGAAACTAGCCGTCATAAAGAGCATATTTGGTCAGTAGTTCACATTGGATTTGTATCTCTTAGCTGTTTAGAAGAGCCTTTTTCACTATTGCGCGTGCGTTTTTAATGTGTTTCTTCTCCTGTCCTTTCAGATATTCCTTACTTTGGATCCCGTAAATGGGAAGATAAGTGGTGCATCCGCTCGAAGTCACATGATCAAATCACAGCTTCCCAACAGCACTCTGCGAAAGATCTGGATCCTTGGAGATGTGGACCGTGATGGCTATCTGGATGAGGATGAATTTGCCCTAGTTTGTCATCTAATAAAACTACAACTCCAAGGGGATGAACTTCCCACCACTTTGCCAAAGCACTTGATTCCGCCATCGAAACGACAAACAGCACAGGAGCCTATCGAGAACGGTCATGAGTTGAACTACTGAGTTTTCTACGCATTTGCTTTGTAGTAGAGGTTCTCTGATTCGTCAACTCAGTATTTGTGTCTGGTTTGAATCAGACTGGGCAGTTTGTGCTCACAAATTGAATAATTCATTTTGGCGGCTCCATCGTTGTCGCACGACGAAACTTCGTCCTTGTTCTTATAAACTCAGATCGTCACTGACTTCAGGTGCACTAGCCTCACTATGTGGGCCTGCGTTGGACACTGCGTCCATCACGTACCTTGTAATCCTTATTTGATTCTACTTTCTCTTCGCCCTTGGGTGTGCCCTGCCAGTTCCTTATGTTGTTTCGCTGTTTTGCATCTGCCTTCAACCGCGTTTCTGACTTCCATCTTTGAAGCCCACTTGTAAATCTACTGGTTACCTGCTATTATTATGTCTGTGCAATCAGAACTTTCATTGTGCTGCAGCTCCAGGTTTTATTTGGTTTCATTTTGTGTACAGTTTTCGTTAACCTCCAGGACTGTCTATGCATTCGTATAGAGGCGCTTCGCGTTCACTCTTCAAAGGAGCTGTCGTTCTAATTCGTTCTTGATTTCGCGGTTGACGTGCCGAGCTTCGCGCATCACTTTCGTCTGAAACTCAGATATACCTTCCGGTTATAAACAAGCGGCTTTACAGCAGTTTCGAACAACCCGCGCTATCCGACCAACCTTTTAGGGCTTACTCATTTGAAGCGACCAGCTGATGACTCTCACGTGATTTGGTCCAACATCTCTAATCCGGCAGCCACGTTAACTTTGTTGATATAGCTTGTCGCTTGGGTCATATGATAAAAAATTCCATGGTCATTTGTATTTAGTGGTAACCGGGTCACTTGAAAGCCAGGACTGACTACCTGCCCCAAATACATTTGTAACGACTGGAACGCATACGTGGCTTGTGGTTGGTGAACTGTTCCACTGTACCCAAACCTTATTGCATCGTGAAGGGATAGGCTGGTGCGCTATCATTAACTTGGTGTTGCCCCTAGTTGTGCGAATGCTCCGAATGCTAGCTGGCTCCAATGCCCGAACACCAACTAGCCCAATATGTAAGTTGGTGTTGACCGTTTGATGACGTTTTGCTGGTAGTGTAAACAATTATGACACGTTTAATGTCCGTTTTCGCGGGCTGCGGAAGGATTCGGATAAACCCTGAGCCTTAAACTAGGCTTAATATGATGGGGATGTAAAAATACGCAATTTCAAGGGACTCTAAGGAATCTTTCAATGAGCCAACCAAGTTCAGGTCAGCCTATGACTGTTGAGTTGGTTGTTGATCGGATTGCCAAGTGTAGCAATCGGTTTGCGAACGTTTCTTTACAATACTAGGAGACATCGTCAGTGCGCAGCTTGGTGGAACCCAAATTCTAATATGTGGTTTCTGTGGTCGGTTGTGCGATGAGATTTCATTAACGTGTCCATTAATGAAAATAACATTCGGAAGCACTCAATGCTTCGTTTTCTGGGAATGTTGCATACTTAGAGGTCTGAGCCCAAAGTTTTCATAATCCAACAAGTTTATTAGAAGCTTCTTTAGCTTATCGCTATAAGGGTGCACATTAATTTATCAAAATTTGGACCCATAGACAAATAAACTATCAGCGTTGTTAGTCAAGTCGTTGCAAATACAATGTATTATATTTAACCTGACGTCAAGACAATTCATACTCACGTCACTCTCGTCTGGCGCAATCATTCTGGCGAGTCTGCCATTTCCGCAACCATCTACCACTAATCCAGCACGTTTCAAGCGTGTGTGGCACTGCCTGAATTGGAAGTCCTGATAAGCTGGCCAATCGGTCGATACAATGAGGATAGGTTACTGGGTTTTCCAGATGTCGAGCCTACCAATCACCGCTCATGCGTGGACATGTTGGACTGTTCAGACGTGGAAATTCATAGGAGTCCAGCCTGCGATGTTATAGTAGTAGTGAAGCACTTAACTCATGTCAGATGTGCGGAGTTCGGGACCCAGCACCGCTAGGGATATGTACTGCTGATGCGCTAAACAAGAGTGGAACTGGAGTTAAGTGCTTTCCTTTGTCGTGGATTCACCGGAATGACTGATTAAGGACAGGAAGGCGACTGTCCAAACAAGGAGTGAGCGGGAATCCTACTCATCCTGCAGACACCTACAACCACTCATGATAATTCCCTCATCCGTTTGTTTACTCCGCTCGCCTATTTCGCTCCTCCATACCCGCTGTTCACCTTACCGCGAGGGCCGTCCTGTCTGACACTGGCATACTAGCATGTGTGATGCCGCTGACCCGCTCACTTGTGTGTTCGTGCTCCATTGCCGGGTCCGCTCTGATGTGTTCTGTCGCAATATCCGTATTGGGGCGAGATGGCTCGGTGGTTAGAGCGTGAAGTTACTGACCGGAATGTCCGTGGTTCGAACACGACTTCTGCCTTTCGGCTTCCCCTGTCTAGGCTCCGCCAACCGGGCAAAATCCCAGCCCTCGTGCCTTCTTCTGGCGGCATGGCAGCTAGACACCGAAGGGGTCTACAACCGAGCAATATTTAGTATCCGTATTGCCGCATTGCCAATCAGAATCACGGAACTGGCCTCGGGAGGGACGACCGCAACGCACATTGCGGAGCCGCCGTTCGGATCGCTGTTTCCTGGTTTGTGGACCTTGAAATTGCGATGCGCCAACCACTGACAGGCATGCGCACTCGTTGATGTCACGAATGGGGACAACTGTTTGTCGTACTATTTTGCTTGCCGTAGGCTTCTGAACCCAATTCTTCCATTTGATATTCGGGATCCTCAAACCCATGCGTGACTCAGAGCTCCGTATCGAGAGCCCCAACACAACGGATACTTAGCACTTCATGCTGTAATATCCAATATAGGAATATCGTCTGATCGAGCGTCTGAACAAAAAGGTGCTACACTTGTGTGCCGCTTAGTCAAGACTTCAGTTTTGCGATTGCGTCTGTTCCGTGTAAATTGAAGCAAAGATTAGTTGCTTCCTCAGAGACTTCCCGAATAAATGGTCACCACTTTTAAGTTCCGAGCAAGTGACCTCCGCAAGGCTTCCAGTATGTTCCGCAGTAATTCTGGTAACCGGGTGTTATGGCTTCGGACAGATAACACTCTCCCGTGTTATTAGTCATCTGTCAGCTTTCTGAGAACCCTGAAGATCCTGAAGTTTTTTCTTCGTTTAGTGTTACTTGATGTAAGTAGTTTTTATCAAATGTTGGAAAGTATTGAGATATGCAGGATTCTGGTTGCAACAAATTCAATTCGACAAAGCTGTTTTTTAACGATTCCAATGTATGCTGTAACAAAATTGGGGCTTGTATTACTTGTCTCTTTCTAGATTGAGTCACCTAGATGGAATTTTTTTTGACAAAGAGGGAGTAGAGTGCGAAGACACACAGTGAAGCAAAGGTAGACAAGTTTCTCGCATTCGAGTATTGCAGAGTTAAGCTACATGAAACACCATTTCTCACCCACATTGATTGTGGTAAGTTCTTGCTCACATACAAGCTGACCACACACTAACCGGTCGCGGTCGGCAAAACAACATGACAGCACGCGCTGACTTCATTATCATTCGGTAAGTCAAAGTGTCGCACGTTGCTGGACTAACGGATGGAGCTTTTTTGGGTGTGCAAGCACAGAGAACCCATCGAACCACTGTATGTGCAGGGAAGGTGAACCCCAAAGGGAATGAAAGAGCTCTCCAATGTCCTACTGAATTTAGATTTAATGTTCTTGTTAAAAACTGGTCACGTGGAACACTGGGGTCCACAATAGTCCCTCAGTCTTCCATTTCTGGCGTTCCTGACGGAGTGGACACTAGGTTAGTCCAAACTCGTGATAAAAGCTCAGTGACGGAAAAGGACGGATAGCTTGAGTTCCAGCGAACACTGTCTAATGTCGCGCACGATAAATTCGGTTTTTAACTGTCCACATGTGTGAATGAAAGGGGTGTCAGAAAGTGTCAGGAGCAAACCGTTTGCGTAGTAATTTTCTCAGTGGCCATTTGAGCACTACGCTTATTGTTATGGTGAAGACATTCCTTGTATAAAGAACTTGCCGTTCTGGGACCCGTTTTCAACCACCTTCGAGTCAGCTAGGAGCCTCTATTTATCAGAACTTCAGTACATCATAAGTATATCCAGTTGCTTCACAAATGACGTCGGCTGACCACGCTACTACTTGTAATGTTAAGCTGAAAGTCCTGGTTTTCGTTAGATAGTGTCACCAGCACTAGTCACGTCAGCTGGTCAGCGACATTCCTTCTCACTTAGTAAAGGCGAAACCGTGAGCTCAGGGATAACAATTCTGCACAGAGAAGCGTGGACGATGAGTATGGTGACCAGTCGGAGAAAACAGGAGCAAATCAATGTGACCGTACAACAGACTCACTTCTTGGGCTCATACAGTAGATATAAAGTAGATAAATTTGAATAAGTAGACCAACGTTAGTTGGCGGTATCTTTGATTCCATTTTCGACAGCGATAATGCCGCCATCCAGTATGTGTGTACAGTGGGTGCAGAAAATACAAGACTGGCTTTGTCGGTGTTTGTTTTTTGCTGTTTGTTGTTTTGCCGGTATCCAATCAATTATACAACTGCGCTCACAGCATCGGGCTCTGATGCCCTCAGCGGACACTTGTTCACTCCGACAGCCAGTCTGTTACTCGGGTATGCACGCTTTTTAAATGAGCTTACAAAGAGTGCGTTATGATAGTTCGTGTGATTGGTTCAACAAGTTGCCCGAACTTCTCCACTGCATTTGTTGTGCCGACAAATTACCAAGCGATCCTTCGACGAAGCAGTATTCTTATAGTTACTGTCCGTCCTCTACGTAATCTGGAGTGAAATCAGGATGCGAACGACGGGTGGCGACGGGCTAAACCGGGTTAGAAATTAACACTGGTCTGCTAAAGATGTAACCTTGGGTTCAGTGCCCCTCTCCGGTGTTTTTCGTGAGTGAAAATGAGTGAACATATAGTGAATTGTTTTTTGGTGATCGTGGGATTTGTAGAACGCACATCATTATCGTTTGAACAGTCGCCCCTGTTCTGGTGCAGTAATTCTGATGAGCTCACGCCAAAGGGGAGAGTACTGGAAAGTACAGGCACCACCATGGATATTCACTGCTGATGAACTCCAGTAAGAGTGGAACTCGAACCTCGTGCTTCCCTCCAGTGGTAAATTACCAACAGAATGTACAGGGTATCAATTTAATACGATGAGGTTGTAACCACTGTACAGGACGCTCAAGCGAAGCGATCCCATCTGAAAAGTCATAGTAACACCATCTAGCTTGAACTCCTCCATTCCAGTCCGAAAAGGACAGACTCATTTATGGATCGTCTATTTTCAGCTATGAGGAGCTAAATCGAGTTGTCCTCGGGACCAGAAATACTCCTCATACCTTATTAGTGTAGCGCGAAGTCACTCAAATGATAAGAGGAACATTGACCATACAGTGAGCATTATGTTCGAATGTGACCGCATGCCTAAGCAGGAACTCTTCATAGAGAAAATATCTTGCATTGTCCGAATCAGCGAATAAAACATGACTTATTAGG